CTCTTTTTCAAGTCAAAGCACAAATGCTACCAACTCTGCAAAGCCAGCCTTGATGTTCCCCAGGTGTCATCTCAGATTTCTCAGACTTCTTTTGTAGTACTTCATGTGCATTTGCTTAAGCTATGTGGCCTTTCTTCCTTCTATTATAGTCACTTGTGTAGATCTGAGTCCTTTGACTAATTTTTAAGGTCAGAGCTGATGTCTTCTTTATCTCCGTGTAATCCTAGCTATCTACGTGCTCCACCGGCCTCAGTCTGCCTCCTGTCTTACTGAGTGGGCATCTCAAAGGACATAAGGGCCTTCAATGCTAGGAAGTATAGCAGTGCTTCCCCAGAGCCCTTCTTTCACTCCCCAAATCGCCTTATATCATCAGAGTCTCCACAACAAAATCCCAAACTCCTCCTCTAGTTCTATCCCTGAAGCCTTTTTATTTATTTCCCTCTCCCTGCTTCCCCTCTCTCTTCATTCTTCAGTGGATCAACTTACCTTCTCCAGCTATGTCCTCTCTCCTTATCCTTATTTCTAGCAGAGTGGAATTGTCTTTAGCTGTTTAGGAAACTGGGAAGACTTTTGCCTGCTAATATATTTTGCTCCATTTTACATGTTTCTACTACAAAATACCTGGTCCCAGTAGACTCAAAAAACACTCACCAATGAATGGATGATCAGGGCAACCAGCCCATATGCATAATTCAGACCAAATTGTCTACTTCTCTCTATCTCCAGTACTACAAAATACCTGGTCCCAGTAGACTCAAAAAACACTCACCAATGAATGGATGATCAGGACAACCAGCCCATATGCATAATTCAGACCAAATTGTCTACTTCTCTCTATCTCCAGTTCTTCCTAGGCCAAGCCACCAGAATTGATTGCCTGGATTTGCTGCAGCCTCTGAAGTGGTATTTATACCCCCGGTCTTGTGCCCCAAGAGTCCGTTCTCCACACAGTGATCAAAGTGACCACTCATAGCGTTACTTGATTTCCCCGCTTGAACCCTGCAATGGTTTCCCTCCATGTTATAACAAAATTCCAACTCCTTACCTTGTCTTGCCCCTGCCTCCTTCTAACATTGCATCCCACATTTCTCCTTCCCTTGCGCATCATGCTCTGGACACACTGGGATTCCTTCTAGCTCTTTCTATCAGCTGGGTCCTCTGTTTGGAGTGCTCTTATCCCTGATCTTCACAGGACCATCTCCTGCTGTTCCTTCAAGCTTCACCACAAATGTCCCCTCTCCAGAGAGGCCTCCCAGTCTAGGGTACCTTCCCCCAAACACTCCTGTTCACCTTGTTTTTTGCTCTGGTTACCTATTGTTGCATAACAAACCACCTTGGAACAACTTGTTCTTATGATATCTCATGATTCTGTGGGTCAGGACATCAAACAGGGCACAGTGGGTACAACTTGTCTTTGCTCCATAAGGTCTGGGGCCTCAGCTGAGATAACTGTAATGGTGGGGAGCTGGAACAGTTCGGGGTTGGCTGAGCATCTCTCTCTCTTTTTCCACATCGCTATATGGCCAGCTTGAGCTTCCTTCCAATATGGTGACCTCAGGATAGTTGGACTTCTTACATGGTAGCTCAGAGTTCCAAGAGACCAAGGCAGAAGCTGCCAGTCCTCGTGGAAGCTGAGCATGGAGCTGTTATAGGATCCCTTCTGTTCTAGTCCATTAATCAAAGCAGACCCAGGTCAACTCAGATTCGAAGGGAGGGAAGAGTGATCTTAACCCTCAAGTGGAGGAATGTGAAAGAATTCAAGGCCGTTTCTAATATGCCAGAACCACTTTTTGAAAACAATACCTTTTCCTATTAATTTATTTGTTTACATGGGTAACTTGCTTATTGAGCAAACAGGGGGATACAAACAAGCCAGTTCTTTCCCCTCCCTTCATTGCTTCTTGATGAACTATGTTGGTTGTCCTTTTCCTGCCCCCTAACAGCATCTTGGGCAGAATTTCTAATGTTCCTGTCACTTTAATTTATTAAAGGTCCAGCCCCATCTAGGCTGGTCCATCCAAATAAAGACTAACCTTTTCCCTGTCCCAGGCAGGGCCTGGATGTGGCCCAGGGGAGTGGGGAAGGATGTGGTCTGTCTTTGTACTCTGTCTTCCCTCTCCCCAGTCCCTTTCTCTTTCACACAGATCAGGAAGGAGAGATTGTGGCCATTTCTTCTGGGGGATATGAACGTACCTGGCATGACAGGCATCCAGATGCCAGCTGTCTTGTGGGCTCACTGCAGGGCCGCCCCACACCACCATTGCCTGATGTGAGAGATCCCTTCCAGCTCTGTATCTGACACCCCCGCTCAGCTCTTGCTCCAGCCTACACCCCATAGCCTATCACCTGTGGAGTCTCCTCACCTGCAGGCCTCCCTCTTGGGAGAATCTGGGTGAGGCAGCTGAAGACATCCACCTTCTGTCATGTCCACCTGACCCACAGGAAACTTCTGCTGGATGCCCCTCCATCCTCCTGTCATGCTTCCATTCTGCAGTCCCCCCAGCTCTTCATTCAGATAGTGCATGGTCTAATCTGAATAGCAAATCCAGCTTCAGGGAGAGGAGAGGAGGGAACATCACCCCAGGATTTCAGTGACCCCTTCTCCCTCTCTCTCCCTCCCCCTTTCTGGCATTCTGATTATGGAGAGTTCGGAAGGGGGTGCTGGGTGATGTTTGGGTGGAGCAGAATTACTTTTGCCATCTCTTAATAAATCCTGCAGGCAAATGTCCAGCCCCAAATGGTTTCTTCTTTGTTTCAGAGTGTGAAGTACTCAAGACCCCTTTTTACTTAGCTCTGAGTCCAGCCACCAATTCAAGATGCAGAAAAGCCCCCCCTCCCAATATCCTCTAATACACAATCATGGTCTGTGTTTCCCCTTGAATGTGAGACGCATGAGAGCAGGGTCCCTGTGTGCTTTATTCCCCACCACATCCTTAGTGCTGAGAACAGTGTCTGTTACCTAGGCAGTGCTCCACAGAAACATGGCAAGTGAATGAAGAGGGCCCCTTAAGGCCTAAATGATCCTTTCCTGCTTGTTCCTGCTGTGAGACCCCTGGCCATGGATGTAGATTTCTGCTTATGGCCTCTGGGAGCCCCCCTGGTTTCTGTTTACCAATCTACAGGGGTCACTGGCCTGGGCGGAGAGGCTGACCTCCGTGTGGATGATCTCATGGAGTTGAAAACCTTGGAGATGCTACAGGGGCTGGACTGGGGTCTTCAGGGCTGAGCCAGAGGCCTGCCCAAGGGGAGGGGTGTTCTTCTCAGCTGTCAGTCGGTCAAAGGCAACGGCTCAGAACGGCTGCAGCCAATGCAAAGCCTGTCCCCTGGGGATGATCCACACCCTCTCTGTGATCACCGGCCAGAAGCACATTCTGACCAGAGCGTCCTCCAGGGTGCCCAGGCCTCAGTGAACAGAAGGTCGAGGGCAGCCGCCTCAGCAGGGCCAACCCGCCCTGCTGGGCCAACCACGGCTTCCCTCC